TGTTCATATCAAAGATAAAAAAAAAACAAAACCCAACACGCCCGAAAGTTGCAGGTCCAAGGCCCAAATGAATTTTCAAAGAAACCAGGCCTGCACTCTGGGCTCTCATTGGCCAAAAAAGAGGCTTCCAGCTAATCAAATGCTCCAGAGCCAGAGCAGAAGGGGGAAAAAGCTAAAAACTCACCCCTTTAAGGCAACATTAATTTCCAAAGACCCAAAATATCATTTTAATATCATTTAATACCAACAATTAAAATTAGTTTAAAAATTGTGGTTGGCCCTCCATCCAAGGAACAAAAGTCTACCTCTGTTCACCTTGATCAACAGAAAGGAGAGATTGAAATAGGAGGAGGAGGATATGGAACGGATGGAGTTACCTCCATGAACGACTTCTTTTGACATTAAGGCCAGACCTGGATGGTACCTGATAGAAGGTACCATCATTGATCAAAGATGGTAATCAGAAGGGGGCAAAATATGTAAGAGTAGTGAGCTTCAGATTCTCATGAATACTGGACATACTGGAGCCATGATGCTACTTGAATCCCTGAAACTGTTGCCTTTAGAATCTTTAAAACTTAAACCACAAAGATTCCTGAAGACACCTTAAAATTGGACAGTTTGTTGTTATTGGATTGGCTCTAACCCATAAAGATTGTGTGTATAATAGAATGAAACACTCCTGATCACTTGGCCATCCTCACAGTTGCTGCTGTGCATGTGAGCCTATTGTTGCAGCCATTGTTGTTGGTATTGCTAGGTGCTTCCAAGTCAAGTACAACTCAGAGACCCACTGAATGGCCATCCGAAACCTTGTGCTATCCTGTGCCATCCATATCATCTCAAACACACTTGAGTGCATTGCCAAAGTCACCATTTCAATCCATCTCATTGCGGGGGTTGGGGTGGGGGTGGGGAATCTTCCTTTTATTTTCTGTCTTTCCAAGCATAATGTCCTTTTCCAAGGCATAGCCTTAACCTAGTGACATGTCCAAAATATGAAAGATGAAGCTTTGTTATCCCTGCCTACAAAAAGTATTCTGGCTGCCTTTGTTATCCCTGCCTACAGAAAGTACTCTGGCGGAGCCCCCTCCAAGACATCTCTATTTATTTTGATAATCCATGGGACGTTCAGTACTTTTCTTCAGCATCAGTACTCAAAGCCATCAATTCTGTCATCCTTGTTCATTGTCCGGCTCTCTGATGTGAGTAGGTGATTATTTAGGAAGACTGTGACCTCAATCATGCATACTTGACTCTTCAAACTGACGTCATTTCTCTTCAGCATTTTGGAGAGGTTCTTGATAACTTACTTACACAATTCAATACATATTTTCTTTTTAAATGAGATTTTAATGAAAGTTTTTAGAGAACTTGGATTTCCATTCATTCATTCTTACACGTTTTCTTCCCTAACCCACCCCCCTTCGCTTTTTACTTTGAAGAGAAAAAAAATTCTTTCATTGTACAATTCCCCACCCTCACCCCAGTCCACTTTGCTATGCAGCTCTTATTCAGGACTATTACCATACAAATATACCTAATCATATATTTCTTTTAAACAGTTCTTTCCCTCATCTGTTTCCAGTGTACCTTTTTTATTCCTTCTTTTCTTAGTTTTCCCCCAACCCCGATGTCAGTCCTGTTTTACAACAGTGGCTATTAAGTGGTATTTGTCCTTTTGTAACTGAAATATTTGACTAAGCATAATGTCCTCCAGGGTCACCCATTTTTGTATAATATTTCATGAGTTCCTTATTTTTCAGTGCTGCATAGAATTCCATTATGTGAATATACCACAGCTTCTCCATTCATTTGTTGATGGGCACCTGGGTTGTTTCTATCCCTTTGCTATTGTGAACAACACAACAATAAACATGGGTGTGCAACTAATTCAATATATCTTAAAAGCTGGTATCCAAGGTTGTTGATTGTCGATGCACAGGAGATGAAATCATTGACAACTTCAATCCTTTCCTCATCTATCATAATGTTGACTGTTGGTCCTGTGGTGAGGACTTTTGTTTTCTTGATGTTTAATATAATCCATATCAAAGGCTATATAGTTCTTGATCTTCTGCAGCAAGCATTTCATATCCTTCTCCCTTTCAGCAACCAAAGTTATCTCATCTTCCTCCAATCCTGATGCTACATTCTTTATAGAGTTGTGGCTTTGTGAATTACTTGCTCAGCGTACAATTGAATAGTTTTGGAGAAAGGATACAAACCTTCATTTTAAACCATGCAGTATTCCCTTTCTCTGTCTGGACAACAGCTCCTTGGTCTAGGTATGAATTTTATATTGGCACGTTTAAGTATTCTGGTATTCTTCCAAATGTTAGCCATAATTTGTTAGGATCCACACAAGTGCCTTCTCATAGTTAATAAAGCACAAGTAGACATCCTTCTGTTATTCTGTGCTTTAAGCCAGGATCCATCTGATGTCAATGATCATAACCCTGGTACCACAGCCTCTTCCAAAGCCAACTTGAACTTCTGGAAGTTCCCTTTCAAGGTACTGTTTTAGTCGTTTTGAATGATTTTTCAACAGTATTTTGCTTGCATGAGATACTAGGGTAGTTTAATTAGGGAAAAATATCTGCCTTGAATGATACTCTTTTAAAAAGTATCCCATGTGTAGTTAAATTGATAATAACAACACAAAGGGTAGATAGGAATCTTAGAGGGCAGTGAATTTATGTTAATTTGAGGGCAATTTAGAAAAGGAGAATGAGAATTGTAGCACAACCTAAAAGTATAATCATTGTCGCTAAGTGGTGCATGTGGGAGCTATTGATTTATGGTTTGCTATGTATATTCACAACAGTGTCAAAATAAATACAATTTAGGAGAAAGGAAAGACTGACTGACTTAAGACACACATTCATCTTACTCATTAATATGTCAAAGAATATCCATTTCTAAATGAGATTATAACCACAGGAATAAGGGCTAAGATTTATTGCACGTATTTTTTATTGACACAATTCAGTCTATAATAGTATTTGATATCTAAAATGTATTAAAAACTTTTACACTTTAACAATGCATAAAGAACTAAAAATTGGGCAAAGGGCTTGGACAGACTCTTTACCAAAGCAGACATTCAGGTGACCAAATAACACATGCAAAGACATTGACTGTAATTGGCTATTAAAAGAACTGTTGATATAGAATTGATTCAGACTTACAGAAAGTAGAAATGTGCTGTAGGGTATCAAAGCAATGAGTCTTTACAGAATCAGACTCTCTTAGCTTTCTCCATAGGACTGCTGGGAGGTTTGAGAACAACCAGTCTTGGTTCTTCAAAATGCTATCACCATTGTATCACCAGGGCTCTGGTGGCCTAGTGGATAAGAAGTTGTACTGCCAATCCAAAGGCAGGCAGGCACTTCACATGTTCTAGCTGCCCCACAGGAGAAAGATGGGGCAATCTGCTCCCAGGGGTTTTACAGCCTTTCCAGGTAGGATTTGTTTCCACATCTGGAACTGAGTCGTAGCTGCCCCTCCAGCAGATTTTCAGAGGTTGTCAATGGCATAGGAAGCGATTGCCTGTCTTTCTCTTGTGAAACTACTGGTGGATTCAAACCACCAGAGAGGCGTAGCCTTTGTGTTAGTGGTGCAGCTACCTACAGAAGGGAAAATGAGTTGTCATATCAAGTTGGGAAAGAAAGAAAAAAAACCAACATTATTTAGATTTTGTAAAACTACTCTTATTTGAGTTGTCATATCAAGTGGGGAAAGAAAGAAAAAAAAGACATTATTTAGATTTTGTAAAACTACTCTTATTAAGGATGACAGAAGAAGAGTCTTGAATATACCATGGACCATTAGAAAAACAAATAGGTCTGTTCATGGAGAGGGTAAAACCAGGTCTCTCCATGGAGGCTAGGATTTTGAAGTCTCATCTCACATACATGGCCAGGAGGGACCAGTCCTTGGGGAAGGACATCATGCTTGGCAGGGTAGAAGGACAGCACAGAGAGGAAGACTCCAGATGAGGTGGTTTAATACAGTAACTATGGCAATGCGGGTAGGTGGGTCAGAGTCAGGGAGACTGGCTCGGGACAAGGCAGGCTTCCAAGCTGTACACAGGGTCACTGAGTCACAGGCGATTTGATTGCACATGAGAACAACAACAAACTACTCTTACCCTCTATTAGAGTACACTACTATTAGAATAAATGGAAGAATGTGAATAAATTAAGACAAGTAGTTCTACTTATTCATTAGGCTTTCATTTATAGATTGTGTACTTGGTTGCTTTGACAACAGTTTCTCTCAAATTCACTGTTTAAGGAATTCATCAAAACAGCATTTCAGGATTTTATTAATTACCGTATTATCTTATGTTTTATTTTGACAGTGGTTGTATTCTCTTGTGAAAGTTAGAACGCTCCAACAGTGGAAACCCGGGTGATAACGCTCATCCTTGTTAGATCTCTCAGTGATCTAATTATTTCTTGCTTTTTGGGGTTTTTTCCACCCCCCTAAGATTTAATTATTTCTACTAGAGTCTGTTGCAGATGGACAGTAATCTAAATAAAAAGACTTAGATTACAGGTTGATGGTACATTCTCTTGCTTTCTACTTCCTGCTGTTATGATCTGCTTGGCTTAATTACCTTTAAAAAAAAAACAGGAACACTCATGATTTTTAAGGGGAAATCTTTATGAAACTTATGTGCTTACACATATCCAAAAATTTCAAGGATGATTCAAATGTATTTTTTTAAACAAAATTACCTTCTGAAAATTGAGGTTGGTATGTATTTTAGTGTTATTCTCTTTAATTGAAGGGGCTAAGCCAGTCTGGAGGAGGAAGATAAGGTAGTAAATAGTCTGGAACAATTTATAACTTGGAAAGTCTGTGGCCAAGTCTACTCTGTTCTACAGAGTCACCATGAATGAGAATTATCTCAATAACAATGAGTTAACATATTAATTTATAATGTATTACCCATGATCAAGATATGAATTTGTGTATGTTTTTCCCCACAGACCAGTGAAAACTACATCTTGTCTAGTGATACCAGATCACAGCTCAAGTTTCTTGAAAAGCTGGATCAATTGGAGAAACAGAGAAAGGATTTAGAAGAAAAAGAAATGTTGTTTAAAGCAGCCAAGGTAAGGGCCTCCATGACTACAAGTAACAAGGGCCTTCTGGGGAGGGCAGAATTGGTTTTGTTCTTGGCTGACCTTTTTGGTTTTATTGAGATTTCTTCTTTCTCTGGAGCTTTCCTTAAAATGAAATTACTGATAGAACCACAGACAAGGTAGTATGGTAAAGTGACCTGCCATTAATTTAATTTAATGAGACATAATTTGGTCTTCTCACTCTTGTTCTCTGTGTTCCCCATCATGTTTATGACCTTGAAATAATCCGCAAATTTTTATTAACTGCATGTGACCTTCCAAGTTAAGTACTTTGTAAAATTTCCAGGTTCATTTTTTTGGAATATAATTTGATATGTGAATAATAATAATAATAATAATATATGCCTGATAATAATAAGAGACTAAATTTTGGGAAGTGATTAGTAAAATTATGGGTAAAATTATAAGCAATTAGGATTATATGAAACCAAGTATAAGATGGGGAAGAAATGGGTTAGAGTTTTGTAAAAATTATAAATACATTTATTATTATCCTTCTCCCTTTTGAGCCATTTTCTTGACTATTTTCACCCTATCTAGTGATGGAGTGAAAACTAATTTCATGTCATTTGTACCATACTTCTTTACAGGCTTGGGGTTCCTCAAAACGTCTTAAAGGCCATCAGAGTCTTTTAGACTTTATTTTTCATTTTAATCACCGTCATTTTAATTTCTCATTTTTTGACAGCCTCTCCTTTTATAGCATTTGTTTTGAATGCTCTAATTTATTGGAAATAATTTAAAACAAAATAATCTTACTAAAACTATACAAAGAATTCTCGTTCTCTTTCTTAGATGACTACATTTCTTCTGGAAACTTTTTTTTTAGTTCAAGATAATACTTAGAGACCAATAAAAAAGTATAGAGTATGCCTATTGCTACTAGAATGTCATTGCTTGTAGATCCTATTAATAGAAACATCTAGGCAATATATATATATATGTCCATACACATATCAGTATATACACAAAAGACGTATGTAACTATTTCTGTATCTTTCTGTGTTGTTGTTGTTGTTGTTGTGTCTAGTCCAGCACCTCTCATAGCGACCCTATGAATAAAAAGCCTGTTGCCTTTCTGTAACTGTTGACACTTATCAGAGTTCACAGTTTCCAGAGGCATATTGTTTAAGAAGTAGATGCCGTTCCTGCTTCCAACATAGTGTACATAGTAGTGTAAAAGCATGAGTTCATATTGAGATCTCCCATCTAATGCTATAGGGTTCTTTATACTCTCTGCCTTTTCACATTTATTCAGCTCTCTCTAATAGTCATATACTTGATTCCTTTTATCTCTATTGTATTTGCTTTTCATCTAAATAGATTTATTTTTTAAATCAATCCATTTATTGTTGACCAATGCAACTTCTCTTCCAGAATTGCTGACTTCTTTATCTTCTGTTTGCTACTGTTTACACTCTTTCCCCCCAATCTTTAGTCCATTGCCAGTGTACTTGAACATCATCCCCGTTGGTCCATGCCTTGGCAAGGCTTTCCAGCCCCCACCATCTTGCATTCTTGACAGTTGGCATACACCTTGATGTGCCCTAGCTCTCTTACAAGGATATGAGGTCTGCCTCTTTGACGCCTACACCTAGCAGGCTGCTGTCTACATGTTCTGCAGCTGTACCCTCCATGCCAACCCTTCTTTTGCAGTGAAAAGAAAAAGGAGATGAAAGTAGAAGAGACTAATTTTGTGCCCTCAGGTACTATAAGGAATCACACAGCCATTGTTATGAAGTAGTTTGCTGGCTTTTTATTTCAGCAGCCTTTAAATAGTTAGTTATTTTTGGATTGAATATACTTGCTTTCAGTCTTTCTCAGCATTTCTTCCTTTACCAGTTTCTCTGCTTGCTGGTTTTGGTTGCCTTCTCTGTCTGCTTTCCCTCTTAGAGTAAATTGCTAACCTAGCCCAGTTTGGAACTCTCCATTCATAGGACTTACTGCCTAGTTGACATTTCCAGTTATTGGTATGTACCATCCAAGTGACTTTGTTGTTGTTCTTATTGTTGTTATGTGCCATCGAGTTGCTTGCAACTCATAGTGACCCTGTGTACAAGAGCCCTAAATGCCGTTCGATCCAGTGCCAACCTAGCCATCTCAAAGGCACTCACTCCCACCACTCCAGTCACGGAATCGATCATCTCATCGAAGGTCTTCCTCTCCTGCATGATCCCTCCACTCTGCCAAACATGATGTCCCTCTCCAAGGACCATCCCTCCTTGCAACACGCCCAAAGTATGTCAGACGAAGCTTAAGAATCCTTGAATCCAAGGAGCATTCTGGCTTCACCCTCTCCAGCACAAACCTGTTTGTTCTCCTAGCAATCCATGGTCTACTCAACACTCTTCTCCAGCACCACAGCTCAAAGGCATCAATTCTCTTTCTGTCATCCCTATTCACTGTCCAACTCTCCGATGCATAGCATGTAATTGCGAAGACTATAGCCTGGATCAGCTGCACCTTAGTCTCCAGCCTGACATCGTTGCTCTTCAGTACTCTTGAGAGGTCCCTCACAGCTGACTTTCCCAATGCAATTCTTCTTCTGATTTCCTGGTTGCTATTACCAAGAGTGTTGACTGTGGAGCCAAGTAAACTAAAACTGTTAACTATCTCAATCTCTTCACCATCCATACTGATGCTGCCAGTTGACTTTGTTTTCTTGATGCTCAGCTTCAATCCATATTGAAGGCGGCAGTCCTTGATCTTCTGCAGCAAGTGCTTCAGGTCCTCCTCAGTTTCAGCAAGCAGGGTTGTGTCATCCACATAATGCAGGTTGTTGATGACTCTTCCACAAATCCTGATGCCACATTCCTCTTCGTACAGCCCAGCATCTCGGATGATCTGTTCTGCATAGAGATTGAAAAGGTGTGAAGACAAAATACATCCCTGATGGACCTCTTTCTTGATTTTGAACCATGTAGTGTCTCTTTGCTTCGTTCTGACGACTGCCTCTTGGTCCAAGTATAGGTTTCACATTGTTGTTGTTGTTGTTGTTATGTGCCATCGAGTCGACTGCGACTCATAGTGACCCTATGTACAACAGCCCTAAACTCCGCTCTGTCCTATGCCAATCGCACTGTCTCTGACAC